TATATATATTTATATAAAATAATACTGGTGAATATAGGTTAGACATGGTGATGAATGAATAGTTTATTATGAAAAGTGGTATAATTATTTATATTTATTTATTGTGGCAGAGAGCAAGGGCATCCGAGGCGAAGTGTTTTAACGAGAATGCGTTGCAACAACCGTGGCCCCTGTGACTTAGGTTTTGGATATGTTTGATTTAACTCATCATCAAGAACCAAGCTTGCTCCATTGCCCTTATTACTTTCTTTTTACAATTTTAGTATAAGCACAACTAGACATTGTCGTTTGTACAATCCCATCCAACACTTGAAGAAATCAAAGTCATTAATTAAAGCCTACATTTCATTTATTTTACTGGTGTCACTGCATGTTGACTATTTTTTTTTTTTTTAAAGTTTGATAAAGAAAAACAAGATAAAGTGATATTTAATTATATATGTACAATTTGAATATATTATTTACCATGTTATTATAGGAGAAGAAAATAATATAAATTAAAAGAGTGAGTTTTCTTACATCGTAAGTGGTAAACTTAAAACTATAATCATAGCATCAATAACAGAATTCATAAGAAAAAAGAAAAACAATATAAAAGGTTAGTGTGGTAAATGGCAATGACCTAAATAAAGTTAGAGTTTTAGGACGAGCAAGTATCAGGTATGAAAGATTTTGTTTAACCTTTTTGCAACAGGCAATAATAAGTGCTAACAAAATTCCAACCAAAAAAGCTAAATATGTCATTCAGTGAATTTTACAATAAGATCTTTCATTGACTATTTTCTAAATACATAATCACTAAATTTTAAACTCCAAAATGTCATTCTAAGGGCTCAGCCATTTTCCGAATATAACAAGGACATTTTTCTTCAGAATAAAATTGTTCATTATTTTCACTCGCTCTTAACTATATACAAGCCTTTTAAAAATAAAAAACAATATTATATTTTATTTTCTCATCTCCTTATTATAAAATATAATCTTGAATACATTTTTTATACTTTTTTTTATTTTATAAAATATCTTATAGTTTCTAAAATGTATTAAATTATTTTTTCTTTATTTACTATTTTTAAAGATTGTGAGAACATGTGTTTTTCTCTATCATTTCTTAAAATTTCTTCAATTAAAATTTATTTTTTTTACTGATATTGATGTATTAGCTTTAATTTAAAGTAATATTTTTACCTTTTATGAAAATCTAATAATAAATAAGAAAGATAAAATTAATGAATTATGAATTTATTTTATAAATTTAACAAAATTAACTAACATAATTATTTATATTTATCCGTATGATTCAGTTAGAAATATCTTATAATAAAAATGAAAAAAGGAATAATAACTTTATAAAAAAAAAATAGTTGATCTTTCTGGATATTGCATTAAGACTCCCTCATAATTGAAGGTGTTAATCATTAATGAAAAAAAAATATAAATTAAAGGTGATACTCTTCTTCAACAGTATGAAATAATAGTGTGGAAGATGTTTGTGCAAGGCATTTTGATGCTAAAATTATTTAAAATTAATTTCAATAGAGTAATGATAGAGGAAATATATTGTTCTTTTCAAGAGGCATTGAATTTGAGATTATATAATGATATCCGTGTAATGTCGGTTGAATTATTTGTTTGTAAGTAGATTATGTCTCTCAATTATATAAAATTGATTTATAAAATGAAAATTATTTTTTTTATAAAATCAATTTGCGTCAATTTTTTTCCAACTTCTCTTTCGTCCCTCTATCTCTAGCTTTTTTTTTTTTTGACCGAAGAGGCATGATGAACAAAAGGATCTAAATTGATGTAATGCTAGTTGTCTTTCACTGTGACTCCAACCACTTGAAGCGAATCTCTTGTGTACAAATAGCATTTAATTAAAATATTTTAAAAATTAACTTGAGTTGTGATATTTTAGAAGAACATGCATCAACAACAACATAAAAACCTAAATTGAATTTTAAAATTTAAAGAAGTAGTTCTAGCGGTCGTTATCCTCAAATTTCCTTAAACACGTCTTTCATTTAGTTCGTCAAAACAATAAAACTTCCTTAAACCCTAGCCAACTTATCATGTTGAGTTGATGGATTCCACAGTCATCTACAAATGATTGAATCTTCTTACGTATGACAACATTAATTAAATTTCAAGTGAATAAAAGCTTTCTTAAGCATGGCAACATTAATTAAATTTTCGTATCATAAAAAAGAGGTATGGGGATGAATCTGGTTCGATTCGATTTAAAATACGAAAATATAAAAACCAAAATGTAAATTTCTATATTAACAATTATTAATTTTTCAACTTTTTTATTATTATTTACATTTCGTCAGTGGGGAATTTGAACATTGAGTTGAATTTGAATATACATTTGGCTTGTATATAGCCTTTCCTTCTCTATCTCTTTTCTTGTTGAGATTGAAAAATCTTACATAAACCCCACATTATTATTCCAATGATCTTGCTAGAAATCTTGGCAAAAATTTCACATACAAATCTATTCACGTGATTGCGTTTGTTCCACCAAGTTCCACACATGGAGCCTGACTCATTGGTTGCCGTCATGGATCAACTAAGAGGTCCATATCTTGTAGGCCATACCCCCAACAATAATGATCTCAAGTTAGTTTTAAGAACCCCCTTTGATAAGAATAAGAAATTTATTAACAACCAACGTATACTTTTTTCTTTTATATATCTCCCTTTCTTTTCTATTACCTTATTTATCATATTTTATTCTTTTCTCTTTCTCTTTTTCTTTTCTGTATATATCTCTCATTCTTTTTCTTTTGTTTATACTGTTAGAATTCAAGTGCGAAGCGAAGTCCCACATTAGTTAGAGTTGGACATGTCGAGTAATATATAAGTGAGAAAGACCCACCTACCTAATGCCTTAAGGTTTTAGGATATGTTGTGGTGTCAAGCTCACTTGTATGACTTACTCACTACCCATTGTGTGAAATGTTCCCCCGATGTTAAAAGACTCCCCAACATTTGGTATCCAGAGCGCAGGTTCGAAGGGTCGACTGCCATAGAAATTTATGGCTACTTCACTCACTTCGATCCCCACCAATCTTCCAATTCTCACGACGAAGAATTATGATAATTGGAAAATTCAAATAAGAGTGATCTTGAGGTTTCAAGGGGTATGGAACCTTGTTGAAGAAGGTTGCAAATTGGCTGGTGCAGGTGGAACAGAAGTTCAAAAGGCTGCAGATAAGGAGATCGAAAGGAAAGATTGCAAGGCCCTGTACATCTTGCATCAAAGCGTCGATGCAGCAAATTTTGAAAAAATCTCGAAAGCAGAGACATCCAAGGAGGCCTGGGAGATTCTTGAAAGGGTTCACGGTGGTGCAACGAAGACCAAGAAGGTGAGGCTTCAAACGCTGCGACGTCAATACGAGCTTCTATCAATGGAAAGCAATGAGACAGTGGTTGACTACATCACTCGTGTTCAAACGATGGTGAACACGATGAAGGGCCTTGGAGAAAAGATGGCTGAGCTACAGGTGATTGAGAAGGTGCTACGCACACTACCCATGAAGTTTGATCACATAGTAGTGGAAATAGAAGAGTCAAAGAACCTTGAAGACATGAGTCTTGATGAGCTTCAAGGCTCTTTGGAGTCACACGAACTAAGGTTGATCGAAAGGGGAGAGGAGCGAAAGAATGAGCAAGCTCTCCAGGCACAGACTAACATAAATCCGACGTTCAAGAAGAAAACCAAGAACAAAGGAAAATGAAGGCAAGAAGTGAATAGTGAGGACGCGAACGAGGTTCAAGACAACAAGCATAAAGCTGCACCTCAGAAAGGGAAAGGACGTAATCCTGACATAAAAAAGGTAAAGTGTGGCAATTGTAATAAGATGGGTCATATTGCCAAATATTGCAGGCACTATAATCCAAGAAGAGACGAAGCCCAAATGGCTCATGAGGAGGACAACGACTTAGAACAAGTTCTGTTAATGGCAACCACTGTCCAAGCAGAAGGCCTAGAAGATAACAGCTGGTATCTTGACACGGGATGCTCAACACACATGAAGGGAAGGAAGGACTGGTTCGCAAGCCTCGACGAATCAATTAAAAGCAAGGTGAAGTTCGCAGATGCTCGCGTTCTAACATCAAAAGGGGTTGGAAAGATCATGGTAAAGAAGAAGAATGGCGACCAAGTTCTCATTACAGATGTCTTATTCGTCCCTAGAATGAAGAGCAATCTGTTAAGCCTAGGCCAATTACTGGAGAAAGGATACACCTCTAGATTGGAAAATAAGATGCTCAGGGTGTACGATAAGCAAAATCACTTGATACTGAAGTCACCCCTTACGAAGAACCGGACCTTCAAAGTAGAGATTGATGTAGTAGATCAAGAATGTCTTGCAGTTGCGGTAAAGAAGGAGGAATGGCTTTGGCATTACCGTCTTGGACACCTCAACTTCAGAGATTTACAGAACCTGAAATCCAAAGACATGGTGCGAGGCTTACCCCATATATCTCCACCCAATGAAGTGTGTAGTGATTGCATGTTGTCTAAACAGCCGAGGAGCTCCTTTCAACAACATGTTTCATCCAAAACTAAAGAAAGGCTACAAGTCGTCTACTCAGATGTTTGCGGTCCTATTCAAATTGAGTCCCTTGGAGGTAATAGATATTTCATCTCTTTCATAGACGACTTCTCCAGAAAGCTATGGGTATTTTTGATCAAAAGAAAAAGTGAAGTGTTAGAAGTGTTTCAAAAATTCAAAGCCATGGTGGAACGAAGTAGTGGCCAGTTGATCAAAGTATTGAGGACCGACGGTGGAGGTGAATATACGTCCAGAGAATTTGAGAGGTTTTGTGAAAAGGAAGGAATCGAGCATCAAGTTACGCCTCCATACACACCGCAACACAATGGAACTGTTGAAAGAAAGAACCGAACCATCATGAACATGGTACGTAGCATGTTAAAAGCGAAACAATTGCCTAAGTATTTGTGGGGGGAGGCTGTTTCAACCGCTGCTTACATTCTAAACAGATGCCCTTCGAAGAGGCTGGAGAGAGTTACTCCAGAAGAGGTTTGGTCGAACAACAAGCCAGACGTGAGCCACCTAAGAGTGTTTGGATCAATAGGTTACAAACACGTACCTGAACAATTGAGAAGAAAGCTAGACGACAAAGGTGAGAAGATGATACTGCTGGGATATCATCCAACAGGTGGATACAAGCTGTTCAATCCCATTAGCAAGCAAATTGTGGTGAGTAGGGACGTGATGTTTGATGAGTCAAAGGGATGGAACTCAGAGTCAAACAAGGATGAACAATATAGTCAGGTAATCATTGAGTCCATGGACGCCGAAACTAATGAAGATCAAAATGAAGAATCGGGAGGAGCATGTACGTCCAATGCTCTTAGAAGATCTCAAAGAGATACTCGTATTCCAGGGAGACTCAAAGGTTTTGAAATGATTTCTGATGCCGATGTAAATGAAGACGGAGATATTGTTCACTTTGCTCTATTCTCTGAAACTGAACCAGTCACCTTTGAAGAAGCCATTTTGAACAGCAAATGGGTTGATGTGATGAAGGATGAGCTTCGATCCATTGAGAAGAACCAAGTGTGGGAACTAGTGACTCTTCCAAAGGCCAAGAGACCAATCAGTCTAAGGTGGGTCTTTAAGACCAAAACCGATCCCACAAGAAAGGTAGTGAAGCATAAACGAGGTTAGTGGTACGTGGCTTTCTTCAAAAACCTGACATCGACTATAAGGAAGTGTTTGCACCAGTGGCTCGGATTGAAACGATAAGAACCGTGGTCGCCATTGCCAATTCAAAAGGATGGGTCATGTATCAGTTGGACGTAAAATCCGCCTTTTTGAATGAACCTCTAAACGAAGAAGTTTATGTGTCACAGCCTCCTGGGTTCGAAATTAGAGAACAAGAAGCTAAGGTATACAAACTGAAGAGAGCTCTCTATGGACTCAAGCAAGCACCGAGAGCATGGAATCGAAGGATTGACGCATACATGTTGCAGCTTGGATTCATCAAATGCACCTGTGAATTTGGAGTATATGTTCGCCAAAAACAACACTTGGTCATAGTGTGTTTGCCCGTGGATGATCTTCTAATTACAGGAAATCATATTGGAGATGTTGAGGTCATTAAGAGAGAATTGATGCATGAGTTTGAAACGACAGACCTATGAAAGTTGTCGTACTTCTTAGGATTTGAATTCGTAAAGGTAAAAGAAGGATTGGTGATGCATCAGAGGCGGTATGCAATGGAAGTGTTGAAAAGATTCAATATGCTGAACTGCAATCCAGCGTCTACTCCATCTGAGACCGGTTTGATTTTGGAGAAGGAAGGGACCGAAGAACCTGTTGATGAAACTGTGTATAAGAAAATTGTGGGATCTTTACGGTACCTTTGTCACACACGTCCAGACATAGAATTTTCTGTCGGAGTTGTGTCACGATTTATGCAGAATCCCAGGGCACCTCATCTTCTTGCTGCTAAACGGATCCTCAGGTACGTCAAAGGAACCATGTCAAGTGGTATCTTGTTCCCACAGAACAACACCACGACTGACGAAATTGAGGTTGCTGGGTTCACGGATGCAGACTGGGGGGCAGACAAGGATGATCGTAGGAGTACAACTGGTTTTGTATTCTTTGTTGAAGGAGGGCCTATCTCGTGGAGCTCGAAGAAGGAATCTGTGGTGGCTTTGTCCACTTGCGAAGCGGAGTATATAGTTGCTGCCATGTGTGCATGTCAGGCTGCATGGTTAGACAAACTGCTAATTGAGTTGAAGCAGAAGCGTGATGAAGGAGTGAAGTTGTTCATCGACAACAAGTCAGCGATAAGCCTGTCAAAGAACTCGGTAACTCACGGAAGAAGTAAGCATATTGAAACCAAGTTCCATTACTTGAGAGACAAAGTGAATGAAGGGAAGTTGGAGCTTGTGTACTGCAACACTCAGGATCAAGTGGCAGACGTATTCACCAAAGCTACGAAGGGAGAAAGGTTTCGAGTTTTAAGAGATAAGTTGAAAGTTCGTGATGTTGAGAAAATCTGAATTAAGAGGGAGTGTTGAAATGTAATTCAGAACCATATAAATAGACCCAAGACGTAATAAAGTCATATATACATGCAAACGTAATTTTTCCTCTCTCTGCACATTCACGTAATTACGTATTCTCTCTCTTTCTTGTTTGTACGTTCCAACATTTGGTATCAGAGCCGATGGTTCGACCAAGTGACTGGTGATCGGCTCAAACGAGTATTGGCTAGATCCAAGAGTGGGATCCTAAATGGAATTGGCAGGAGATCCAAGAGTAGGATCATCTCTTGTATTGAAAGTCTCCCTAGAGATGTGGAGGACGTGTGTCGTTGAAGTGCAACGATAGTGCAAGTAAGGCCACCATTGAATACTCGTGGACGAAAGAAAAAAGCTTTCGCTTGAGGAGGAGCGTGACCATGTGGAAGGGATTCACACTTGAGGGGGAGTGTTGGAATTCAAGTGTGAAGCGAAGTCTCACATTGGTTAGAGTAGGACATGTTGAGTAATATATAAGTGAGAAAGACCCACCTACCTAATTCCTTAATTTTTTATGATATTTTTTGGTTTCAATCTCACTTGTATGACTTACTCACTACCCATTGTGTGAAATGTTCCCCCGATGTTAAAAGACTCCCCAACATCCCGATTTTGAGGTGTATGAATATCATTCTTTAAGTGGAGAAATGCTAGTAAAATTTTGCCCAACACCCGGTTTTTAATGCTACTACAAGCCGAAACTTATTAGAAGTTAAATATTTTGTATTTTTTTAAAATAAATTTTAGTTAGTATATAATATAGATAGAATATTAAAAAGAGTGTTGTTAGTATTCATTGAGTAATTAATATTTGATTCGTTCTCACAGTATTGATGAGGGTGTCACTTTAGCTAATTTTAATTAGACTTAAATATGTTTTTAATCTCTTAAATTTAGAGTAATTTTTTTTAGTTTCTTAATTATAAAATTATTGTTTTTAGTCTCTATAATTTTTAAAAATCTTGTTTTAATCCATCAAGTCATTAATAATATGCATGAAAGTGATAAATTAAGACAGTTATGCACTATTAATTAGATTTAATGTAATGTCTTCACTAAGACACCGATAGGTAAATTTTATTCGATAATATTTGACAAATTCCTAAATAAAATTTGACTATAAGAGCTGAACAAATATTTTTTTAAAATTAGAGGGATTAAAAATATTAATTTTAAATTTAAAAAATTAAAACCTTTTAAATATATACGACAACCACAAGCCAAATCCAAGTGTAGAAAGGACTCACGGAATCCACTTAAACTAATAAATTGGCAAAATCTTGTGCATGTTGCCAAATTCACTGAGTTAATGATTGAGAGGGGGAAATATTCATAAGATTGTTGTCGTTGTTTAATGAAAAGTGGAAGGGGTTGGATGCAATGCATCCATGTAATTAGGAGAAGAAGACAGTTTGAATGGGCCACAGCAAGATGAAAAGAGGATGGGGAACGTGGGCTTGTAACTTCTGGAAAATGATAAGACTTGAACCTTTTAAAGCCACTTTTGCTTCTCCACAACAACCCAATTTTTCTTGTATGACCACTTTTGACCCAGGTCTTCCTTTGTCAACTAGCATGCATGAATAAGGAGGAATAAAGACTTTAATGGTCCCATGATAGATGGCTATATCATACCTTCCCAATATTGATTTTAGATTTGGGGACATTATTTTA